TTTTCTTTCTTTCTCTCTCTCTCTCTCTCTCTTTATCTATCTATCTATCTATCTATCTATCTATCTATCTATCTATCTATCTATCTATCTATCTAATTTGTCACCACCCGTCTTGTTAAACGACGACTCTGGACAGTTTACAGAGAAGATAAAATTAATTAAAAATACAATATAATAGTAGCCCTGAATAAAAAATAAATATATTCCAAGAATTGATGGTGATTGGCGAGTAGCTCAGGGAGTATCATCAAGGTGCCAGCTACCCCCAGGATTCAACTCTTATTGCCCCATGCAAGGTGGCAGAGCCATGTCTTTAATCCTTTCTGGAAAGCCAGGAGAGTAGGGGCCCGCTGCACCTCTATTATTACAAATAATAGTATTTGTATAGCTTTTCTGAATGTCCAAAGCATTTTAGCACTGCTTACAAAGAAAATAAATATTGCCCTCATAACTGCTGGAAGCAGGCAGGCTATGTCTTGGGGGCTTACTGAAAGTTTTCTAGTGAGTTCACGATAGAGATGAGATTTTTATTTAAAGATTTCCAGGTCAATCATTCTTAGCTATTACCACTGCATTCTACAAGTCAGAATTGTACAGAATTGCTTTAGTTAAACAAAAAGTCTAAAGCACAATCCAGGAGTGCATAGGTTCCACTAATACATGTTGATATTTTAAAATAAGGAAGTAAATCATGCTAGTAAAGTAAAACAAATGGGCATTTTCTTCCACAAGATTGGTGAACAAGTAGAAAACTAATCAGCTGAAAAATTATATTAAATCTTCAAAAATGTGAAAACACTTATGTGCCACTCTAATTGGATATATTAATTCTACATTCCTATACATACATATGTTTCATAAAATTCAGTGGCATTTTTTTCCTCCAGGAAAATGAGTATAGCAAAAGTATTAATAGCCATCGAACAGGAAAAAATCTGTGTATTTCCTCTTAATAGCATAATGGTTTTCCAAAAGATGGTATAAAGCAAACTTGGTTAAGTTAATGAATTATGTCCATATTCCAAATACTAATACTATTCTGAGCAATTTAGGTATTTCGTTTTTCTTGCTAGGGCTAATTTTTATGGTGGTTTATTGTTAAAGAGGCATTTTCTCTTTGTTTATGGTAATGTTTCTGATACAGATGAATACAAAGTCTACTTGTCTTGATTTAGCTTGCTTCTATACTGCTTTATCAAGCTGATTACTCTTTTTATGCAAAAGAAAAGAAACACTAAAATTAAGACAATACTGTTTCTCAAAGGAAGATCAGACACAATGAAGTTATAAATATAGGTGGTCCTTGCTTAACGATCACTCATTCAGTGACTGTTCGAACTTACAATGGGGCTGAATGAGTCCTTACAACTGGTCCCCACATTTATGACAGTTGCAACATCTCCACGGTCATGTGATCATGATCTGGGTGCTTGGTGCCCGGCTCACAATTACAACATCACAGTGCCCCGTACTCATGTGATTGCCAGTAGCAATCTGCTTTGCTGGCCTCCTACAAGCAAAATCAATGGGGAAGCTGGTAGGAGGTTGCAAATGGCAATCATGTGACATCCTCATTTAATGATGGCATGGGATTTGCTTAATGAGAGCAACTGGAAGTGCCAGAATTTCTCTCACTAAGTGGTGCAGTCATGTGATGGCATGCTTTATGACTGTATCACTTAGCAACAGAAATTCCAGTCCCAATTACTGTCGTTAAGTGAGGACTACTGTGCAGGTAAATATGCAGTATACTGCGTAGTTTTTCTGCCTTGTCAACTAGGGTTGTCAACAATCTCTGAAACCTATACTGGAGACTTTACATGAAATGTATCCATATGCACATTTGTATGTGTGCGTACATACATGTATGTAATCCATTAGTCAGAAAATATAGTAAAAACAGCCAGGACAAAAAAGAAATCAATATTAATTGCATTTCTTACTATTGATAAAAATTGCCTGCAGGAATGGAACTCTATTTGTAAAATAATTTGTCTCTCTGTATGTATGACACATACATGCACACACGCACATACACTTAAACCATCCTCTCATACAAACTACTCTCTTCACACAAACATACACAAATGTACATAAATGCACAGAAAGACTGGAACAGCTCAGCTCAGCAAGCATAGTCACATTAGTAAATCATATTAGCTTCACTAGCTTTATTTATTCCCAAGTAATCATACATAGGCTGTTATTGTACTGAGATTAGTTATGGTTAGCGTAGCTTACTCCATGTAAGCTGAAATGGAAACTGGGGAAGATATTCTGAGATATTGAGTTGCTTTTCTTTCCGTTTACAAAAAAAAAAAAAAAGGTAAGAGGTCTGTATGTTGGGCTAAAGTCCAAGGAAACGTATGCTTATTCTGAAATAATGCCTATTAATTTCACTTGCTCTTATTTCCAAGTTAATATCCTTAGGACTTTTAGTTCTTAGGACTTTAGTACAATCAGCATACTAGTCTCATTCTCCTTTTGTTATCTTCTACATGTAGACAGTAATCAGTGTCTGCATTGTAAAGCCAATCTATCCAATGAGACATCTCCATCAACTGAGGATTTTGATTTTCTAAAACCTTTATTCATGTAGTGCACCTCCAAAGAAAGAGGAAACTGTCCACGGCAAATAGACTCTCTTCAAGTGGAGGCTGACCAGAAAATGGCAAGTCTGGTGTGTAGCAGTCTCTCCTGCTTTAATTTCAAATGCTTTCATCATTTACACCTTCCATCCATTCCCTGGTTTTCAAAACCCTCTATTACTATATTATTCCTAGCAAATATGAGATGACCTTGTCCCCCAATTCACAGGTAATTACTTTGGGAAATACACTCATCAGAGTACCTCCTTCTTAGCCCTCTAAGAAGATCAAAGGCCATGGGAGAGAAAAAAATAAGAATTTGCTTCAATTGGGGTATGGGGGAGAAAAAAATGCAAGAGGCGAAAAATGATACAGTACATATTTCCCAAGGCCTCAGAATTCCTTCTTACAACATTTACACTGAGACTTTGACAGAAGAAAACTTTTCTGTTTCTAATATTCTCCAAACACCAGTACAAGGATGGCTATAACTAAAGATACAGAAGACACAAAGAACAGTCAGAAATTTCTCTCATTTTTTTTTGTAATAGTACAAAGAATATTAAAACAGCAAGGAAAGTGCCTTTATTTCTCATGTTCTACAACAACTGAACAAGTTATTCTTTTTGGTAGTGGATCTGTCAATTCCAGTTGTATAACGCAACTTTTAATAAGCAGAAACTCTAGAAGTATATTTGTGTTTGTGTATGCATGTCTTTACTATGCTTACATAGTTAATCAGATCTGTCTTCAAATTTCCAAAGATGATAACTAATTCTTTGGTAATGCTGTGCAGGAAACAAAATGCCTCTATTTAAATGGTTTGGGGATGTGCTCAACTCCAGACTGATTTATTTGGACATTTAAAATAATTATACAGCAGTAAAAACTTTTATCAAATTAAAACTATAGCACTCTGACAGCACTATTTAAAACAGTTAAATAACTGAAAGCATGAATTAAATTGAACTCTAATAATTTTGCTGTCAAAATATAGGCAGTGCCTAATTTACTGTAAGTATCTGTTCCATTCCAGGAACTTTTGGATAAGTCATGTTTTGTGTAGATTGGACCACTATTTGCATATATGTCTATCTACCATTTTTGCATGGTTTATGGAAAAAAACCTGTAAAGCCAAGTTCATGTTAATTAGGTCTTACGTAGTTCAGGAAGCATCTGTACGTCTGTACTTAAAGTATTATACTAAAACTATGTAACAAAAGTTAATATACTTTTGATAAAAGTACCTGAGGAGGTAGGGTCTTCTGAGAAATCTGGCAGTTCTTCAGGGGGATCACCATAGAAAGAATTGAATTTGTGGCTTGATACTGCTGCCAGTACTGCACCCTAAATAAATAAAAACTCAAGTTACCAAATGCATGTCAGTATTGTTTCAACAAATTTTGTGAATCACTTTCATAAGTAATATTCACTGTTTGAATATTAATCAGAAGAATCTTAAGTGTTTGCACAGTAAAACTGGTTGTTTATTTGCAACCAGTGTAGAAGTTCTCAACTGGGCAGACAATTTATTTTAGATCTCTACAAGACAGTTAATGATCACCTGTAAAGAGACTTGAATACCACTCTTGCCTCCAGGACCGAGCAAATACTTCTTTTTGGTCATTTTATTTAAATGCACTAAGGGCTGGCATACGTAAACTAATACTGTACATAAACTGCTCAGTGGAAGGCATGTCTGCTTCCTTCCTGAAAATGATGATAGAGATAGGTACTCTCAGCAGTGAAAGTTTTCAACACCACTGTTATCTGTTGAAAATCTTGTTTGGCTAAGAATGAAACATTCAAAATTGTTTTCCCTGTCTGGCTGGAAACACCATTTTTCTGAAAATTCACTCTCCTGGACTTAATTCTGAACAACAGAAAAGAGCTGGATGATGACATTAAAAAGACAGGAATTTTGTTGCTATAACATTTTGTTTATGTATTTGATTTATACCTGCTGCTAAAAATCCATAGACTCTGGTTAACAATAGCATATGGTAATCAACAACAGTAAAAAGACTCTGTCCATAATATAAAGATTAAATTCAAGCAACAGTAACAAAAATAATAAGCGAATAGTGTCATTCCATCCTCTGTAGGTTCTCTGAAACCATTCTATTTTTAAAAGCTTACAGAGAGCAAATAACATGGGGGGGGGTGCAATCTGATTTGGGGCTGTTCCATAGCATAAGTACCTCTACTGAGAAGCAGCATGTGTGAGTCTCCCCCCCCCCCACTTTACAATAGTGGAGAACCAAAGGCAGAATCATGTTGCTATGCAATTTATGACAGAAATGTCTATGAAAACTCTGGCATACATCAGCAGAAAATTTAAGTTAGATTATGTGTCCAGAAAACTTGAAGAAAAAAAGACTTTAAAAGCAACAGTACATTCTGAAACCTGAAGATATCATTGTGAACTATTCCCATAAGAATGAAAACTGAAGATTTAAAATGCCCTATGGTTTTAAATCATCAGCACAAGGCAAGTTGTGTCTGAGTTTCAAAACATGAAATCATTTTGATACAGGAAGATTCCCTACTTGAAGTAACAATGTCCCTTAGTCTCTGGACACACAAAAACAACAGAGCATGTGCTTCTCCAGTTCCTGTACTACAGAGACATTCACACTAGCCTCATCCTACCATTACTACACAGCTACTCAGGAGCATAGGTCAATTTTACACCACTCTGTTGCTTTCAGATAACGACCTGCTACAACATACAATGTTGCATTGCTCAAAAATTTTCAGGGATGGTGGCATGTTGACTGTCATCTGAGAATCGTTTACGGCTTTCAGGAGCACTGCTCTGCAGGTCACTGCTTATGAGACCCTGTTCATTAAGTTGGGCTCTAGGGATCACTTGGGATTGTTGCTGTTGTACCAGCCTCCCTGCTGCATAGCAACCTCCCTGCCTGAGCTCCTTGATTCCATCCCCGGGTTGGCAGTAGAGTTCCTCAGACTTATGGTCTTGGGAGAACTTCAATCTGCCTTCTCTGGGAATGGGGTCTTGAGGTGGCCCAGGAGTTCATGGCCACCATAACAGCCATGGGCCTATCCCAGGTCATCCAGAGCCTCATACATGATAGTGGTCACACACCAGATCTGGTGTTCCTGTCGGAGCAGTGGCTATGTGATCTGCAATTGAGGGAGCTTTGAGTGTCCCCCTTTTCATGGTCAGATCATGCCCTGATTGCCTTGGGATTCTCTGGCACCACTATCTCCTGCAGGGAGGCTGGACCCATTAGATTGGTCCACCCCCTGTGACTGATGGACCCAGAGGGGTTTCAGAGGGAGCTAGGGAGTGTCTCTGTTGGTCTGCTGCATGGTCTGTCTAAAGCCTTGGTTGCTGCATGGAATAAAGGGGCGACAGGCATTGGACCAGATCACACCTATGTGACCTCTCTCCTTTCAGGGATCCTGTCACTTCTTATGGTATACAGAGGAGTTCAGGGACTTAACTTTTCAATTTTTACCCTAATTCCTAACTCCTTTCTCTCTTACATTATTTTTTTTTTCTCCCTCAAGCTTGCTGAAAACTTTTGAACTGGTCCCTTCCAATTTTCACACAATGAAGTAGAAATAGTACTCATATTTCAGGTCACTGTAAAGTATTTTAGATTAGGTTTTAGTCATGACTACTCAATCTTTTATACCTTAATTTATCAGTTTTGGCACATTTATCAGTTTTGGCACATTTTAAAGAAATGAAAAAATGCAGTAATATTGCTTACAATAATGGCTACTTCTTTAACTATAAAATAATGAGTAATAGCTAACTTGACTGAAGCTGTTTTTCACTGTGGGAGTATTCATCATGTAAGCTCAAACAAATGAATAAATATACAAATTATGAGCGGTATAAAGTTGGAAGGGGCATTGAGTCCAACCTCCTACTCATTGCATGGATACAAATAAAACATCCTTGATTGTCTAGCCTCTGCCTGAACAGATCTACTGAAAGTGAGTCCACCATCTCTCTGGGCAATTGGTTCCACTAGGAAGTTTTTCTAACTGCCAACTGGAATCTGCCTCCTGCAACCTAAATCTATTATTTTGTATTTTGCATTCTGGAATGACAAATAACAGGTCCTGACCTTCTATGTGACAACCTTTCCAGTATATGGACTGCTCCTAGCATTCTTACAGCTTTTTTTGAACCTGAATCATTCTTAAAATGACCAAACTAAAATAGTGGGACTATTACTTCCCATGATTTGGAAATTTTATTTATGTTGATGTAGTTTAATATTGCATCTACTTTTTTACACTATAGATTCATATTCAGGCTGCAGTTAACTAATATTACAAGATCTTTTTCACAAGTACTATTGCCAAAAATGCCAAGTATGAATGCATCCTACTCATGTGTTAATTCCATTATTTTCAACCCATTTCTCTAACCTAGTCATTTGTCTTGAATTTTATTTCTATTTTCAATATTCTATTAAGATTCTGTTAGAATATCTGCAGATGACAGTGTTGTTTCATCTGCTAATTTGATAAAAAATTTTCTTTACCTCTTCATCCAATTCCAATAAATACATCCAAATTATTTGGATTTATAATAAATAAATAAATCCAAATGTTGGATTCATCCAAATCCAATACAAATATTGAACAGTAGAGGATTTAGAATTGAATGTTCTGCTTTGAAGAGAAGCATATAACTAACTAAATAATAAATATCAAGCAGTGATCATATTCTTCCTTTAGTTCTTATAGTTAGACACTGTTTCATAATTTTTATTTCCATGGTTCCAAGCATGCATATAGGTCAACCTTCATACTCAAAAATCTATCTGCTGAACTATATGCATGCTTGGAACCATGGAAATAAAAATCATGAAACAATGTCTAGCTATGATGAGAACTAAAGGAAGAAATCTCTAGTTAAAAAACAGAAATAAAGAATGTGAAATATAATAGTGAAATTGAACCACTAAGACTGTTCCCTAAACTTCTGCTAACATAGTAGTAGAAAAGAACCAAGAAGCTAGCTACTTAAACTGTTCACTGAAGTGTGCAAAGCAATTCTTGAAATGAAAGGAACAACTATTAGTTTTCTAACAGCTGCAGAATGTTCCTGCAAACAGGGAAAGATGCAGGCAAAGAATGAAGGCACTATTTATTTTAAAAAATATTCCCCACCCATCAGCTAGTATTTTAAGCAACTCAAAACAATAAAAATAAATTTTGTCTGACAACTGTATATAAATAAGAGAGCATAATTAAGTTTTTGTTTGGCACAAATAAAAAAGTTTGCCTTGATTACAAAAACGTATGAAGATGTAAAAAGAAACCTTACTACTATAAAGAGATCTATTAATGGAGTTGTACTCCCATGACCATAAGCAGTCTGTTTTAGGTGGTTGAGTTAAAAAAGAAACTGCTCCACAGTGATGTTTGAATCCTAAGCACAAATATTATCCTCTTAATTGAAGGAAACCTAGGGTAGTTTATATAGAATAATGTTGTCTCTGTGCAAAAGTGGTAACCATGAAATAAATAATCCTTTGGTTTATCTCTACCCAAATGCATACAGGACTGGAGAGCTCACATGTGCTTGTGAAGATTTGTGATACTGTTTCCATGGGCAGCACCAAAAAAGGAAAGTATCTTCTATAACATTTATGAGAAGGTATTGTATGAATGAATTTTTACTGTGTTATGTGAAAATTCTAGAAAAACTCATCTTTTTCTCAGTGTAGCATGCTTTAGTTTTACATTTTTAACTCCTAGTTGGCTCAGACACTGTTATCAAAGCTGCTTCTACATGTTATTTATATATTTTATGAGGGGTGTGTAGAAGGGTGGTTTCTGAGGAAGGACCAGAATAGTCAGAATCACTATTAATCTCAATAAGGGAAGAGAGCAACTCCATCAAGCCCTGTTTCATGAAGAAGACAGGAACAACTATGCTCTGATCATTACATAAGTAATGCAAAATTTGATATTTATAGAGAACAAAGGATACTTTCAAAGGGGAATTTTTCTCTAACAAAGCCAGAATCTCCATGGAGAATCAGATATGTGAGGAAATATAGTCCTATGTTAAAAGGAAAGATGTATATGTAAAAATCCATGACTTCTTAGACCATACAACAACTTAGTGAAATATGTAAGTCATCCACAAATATCTCTGCCAATGTTTGATTTTAAAAAATATACACATGTTTCAATTAAATAATAGGACTATGCATTGAATATTCACGCTTGGTTTGGAAGAGTATTGAGGAATACATGGGAATATGAATGTAGGACCTCAGACTCATTAAATCAGCTTGGTCCGTTTCTAGGAGTGCACATGATTCTACTGTGATCCTGGAAACAGATGCAGCTGCTGTCATAAAGAACAGACAGCTGCTGTGTTCATATTCTTGCACATCCTGAAGTATCTTTTTCCAAACTGAATCCTAACTCAGTCAGGCAACTTCCTAATATGTATTATTGCTACAAGCACGTTACTATCATAAATTTAATACAGGTGGACTATTTTTCTTTTACCTTCAACTTTCTTCTTGCATTGAATTTTCTCAGCTGTTCCACAGTTTCCGGAAGGTGAATCTTGTATGCATAGCGATCACGCTCCTACAGATTGTAATGTAATTTTATTATATTAAGTAGTATTTAGCAAACAAGAGAGTAAAGCAATTTATATATAAAATTCCAAATAAAATTAAAGTCAGTCTAAATTAGTTTTAAATTACCTAAGTAGTCTTAGTTTCAGAGCATATGAAAACTATTTGCAGAGAGGATGGTATGAGACAGAGCACTTGTCCTTCTGATTAGATATTGCTTAGAGAATAGAACAGGAGAATATGTCACATATTTATGGGTATCAAAGATTAGTAACAGCCAGCTACCACCTTGCGATAATGGATTTTGCCCAATGGGGTTTCAGTATAGGCTTCCCTAGCTGTATGCCAGGGTTATGTTTTCCCAAAATGATGCATAAAGTGAATTCATATAAATAAGATGTTGAATTAGTGGAAAAAAGAAGGCTGTGGGGAATGGTGTCAAAGCATTTTTTCCATCTTTTCTACAGCTGGATTTCTAATGCATATGGTTATCACGGCAGACAAGAAGTGGAATGCATCATGGCACTATGAATTTCATTAGTGTTGTCCTTTATGTTGCACATAGCACATTTGCCCAGGTTAAAAGCTCGTCTTAGAGATCCTTCACCAGCTTTGTTGCAACGTAATATGTCCAACTTTGTTTCTAGTGTTACATTCCTTCCTTTTTCATTTTGAATAACAGGCTTGGACAAGATGTTGATGGCTGTTTTTATTGCATAGTAACCATAGTAGTTACTGCAGCTACAGAAGAAAATGGGAGACAAGAGACACAACTAGAATGACTGCAGAAAACAATGGTAAGTGCATGAAAGTTTTGGTGGGAAAATGTTCAAGTGGTATTGGTGGGAAAAATCTTAGCCTGTTTCCAGACCTTTGGTATTATGTTGGCCCAAATCGCATTTTATATATATACACAGTACTAACTAGAGTAACTCTGATCATGAAAATGTAGAAGTTCTGTTTACTACTGTTTAGACATTTATGCCAACTGAAACTTGATTTATAAAGATTGTCTGCTTTGCATATCCATTTAGTAATGGTATACAAAACAAACCATAGTAACAAAAATCTTTGCAGAACTTTAGGAAAGTTATGAACTTTTATTTGATTACTTTGCCTTTGAATTTTATTTTGCTGGGTTCTAACATGCCGTTACTTTAGTGCTATCTGGGCTGAATGTTTCTCTAACATTTAATTTTACTGATTTTCATTATTCTGTTTTTGAATTGAGCTTTCAAGGTTAGAAAGGTTGTACTTCTATATTTTAAATTAATAGATAATAATGAACCAAATAATGAATCAAAATGAATTAAAGCAAATACCAGATTTCAGATACAAAATGCCCTATTAATATTCTGGCAAAAGCAGTTATATCAATTTTTTTACCAGTACAGGGAAAAGAATACTTTACTCTCTAAAATATTTTTTTAGAAGGAAATAAACAAGAATGGAGAACTCTATGTATGTTTAAGTAAAAAAGAACAGGGCTCAGGGCTATTCCTATACAATCTGCCCCAAAGGACCTCTCTGGGGCACCTTTTGTAGGCTTTGCCACAAATATGTTTAATATCAACAGCAAATGCTGTTTTTTTTCCTGTGGCATACTCCCTCTGGCCCCTTAGTACAGTTTAGGAGGGGCTTAAAGCTACATATATTATATATTAATATATATTAAAGCTACATATATTCTCTTCTATATGTACCTTTTTACTCAGGTCTTTACAGATTTTAACATTTTAAAGATTTTAGATTTTAGTTTTAATGTTGTTTTAAAATTTTAAATGGTTTTATAATTGTACATATATATTCTTCTAAGTTACCCAGAGCAATGGATACTTATAAAATAAATGCAACAAATTATTACATAAATTATCAATGGATCTATGACAATGTAATACATGTTAGTAAATAAATATGTGAAAGTACTTTTTGATCTTTTATGATTTTTGATCTGCCTACCTTCAGCCAAGGATGATTAAGTGCCTCATAAACAGTTATTCTTTCAGCTGGGTCAAGCATAAGCATGCGCCGAACCAGATCTTTGGCACTTTCAGAGATATGGCTCCACTGTCTGGGATTCATCTAAGTAAAGAAAAGTAAATTAAAACTAGGCACATAGTGTTTTGCACTCTGTTTCTGGAGCTTTCATTGCAGACAAATTATTTTCACAATCTTTAATAAGCAAAGAAAAACTACACCAGTTATTTCATGCTTGTACTTTTTCTAGCCTGAATCTGTTGAAGTTAAAACCCCAGCTTATATAAGCTGTCATTTAAAATAGTAATTTGCTTGTATATCAAATAGATTATCACATTATATATTTTAAACAGAATAGGAAATCACTGTAATGGTTGACTAGAACACTAATCAAGATGTAATAAAATAGTGTCAATTATCAGGTTATTATTATATATCAGGTTTGTGAGCACAACACTTTGCTGATTTCCACCAAAGAAATACAATGTACAGTGGTACCTCGGGATACGAATGCCTCTACTAACGAACTTTTCGGGTTACGACCAGCTCTGGCTGCAAAAATTTACCTCGATGTATGAACTCCGCCTCGGGGTACGGTCATTTTTCCGCCCTGACACGTGGTCCGCGGCCATTTTTCCGCCCCTGACACGTGGTCC